GGCTGCATTTGAATAATTTTTTTTTCCTGTTTATTGTAAGTAAAAGTCTCATTAATGAAATTGGTGAGTAAAATTCAGAAGACTGCAGTGTTTTTTCAATTTGACTGTGCATGTTATCAACATCCTGAACTGCAGAATGTCCTGGTACACTGTAATTCATTGTAATATCTTGAACTAGTCCGTGCTGAGTCAGAAAATAAATCATGGCAGTTGTCATAATTGAGTTGCTGTTTTGAGGAACACAACTATCACTCCAAGTAATGTAATGTTTAGCTACAGGAAATGTTTTTGCAGCATCGTCGAAAATTTTAATAAGTCCGCTTGCAAGATCACAGTACTTCTTAATAGTTTTGTTAGATTTAAGTTGTGCTGTCAGATTGTAAACATTTAGTTTTCTTTTGTAAAAAAAAGCCACTTATTTCAGCTTTTGGACACTGAACAACATTTTGAAGATCAAAACTAATTACAACTAAATTAACCAGCTCATTGTTATGGTCATATGTTTTTTCTTCACGCATTGCTATTTTTTCCTGCAAACGAACTTGCTGTACCTCTTCCATGGTGTTATCAAGTTTATTATTTTCTTTTGCTACTTTATAGGCATTGCAAGCATTACACCTGCCTTTTTTTGATTTATGGAAACTTAAATTAAACTGAGTATTAAATATAAATCTAAAGTAGGGCTCTTTAACTTTTTTTTACTTCTTCCTCACCATTCGTTTCAATGTACAGCTGATACATCTTTTTTAAATTCAAGTTTGAGGGTAAGTACTGTCGTGTGCTTGAAGACCTGCAATAGTGACTATCAACTGTTGGAAATGAACTTATGAAGTGAATTACTTTATTTTTTATTTCATCTGAAACCACTCTTTTAGTATGCTTACCCCTCATATCTGCTTTTGGCGTACCAGTCAACGGATCCTTCTTTTCATGCACATTGTAAATAACTTTTTGACTAATACATAGTGTTTGTATCCAAAAAGTTTTGCAAACTCTGATTTCTTCATTTGCTACAACAACAAAAATATTGAAAGGAATAATGTCTTTTTGAAAAACCTTCTTTAGTCTGACGAGCTGTTAAATTACGTCTTGTATAACTTAAAATGAAAAAGTTTTGCCTATCTTTGTCCACATTGTAGTACGACTGTTTAAAATTTCTCTGCTCAAAGGTAAGTTTAGCATTGCATTTATACTTGCAGTTTTCTTTACATGTTTTTAAAATCTTTTTTGATGGAATTCTATTTTTAGTACTGCTAACATAAGACTCTCCAGACTGGCATAATTTCTTATGTTTATTCATTTTCCATTTTTCTGGTTGTCTAGATCTCTTTTTAGTTGTTTTTTTACTACTTGTTACGATAAGAGCATCTTTACCAAATCTATAAAAGATGTTATAATGTAGAAAAGACAAAATTTTGAAAATTTAATAAACATTGAGATTATAAAAAGTAACCTTAGCAATCAAGAAAACATAATTTTGACAATAATCTTAAGTATTAAGTTATAAATTACATATAAATTACAAAAACACAATATAAAAATACCAATATAGTTATACATCAGATAAAATTGTTATAAGAAAGGTGTACTCTTAATGAGTTTTTTTATTTTAATGTACCTTGCTTTTTCCGTTTGATTATCTGGATGCTGCAGAGACAAAAAAGATTCCAGAGAACAAACAACGGTGTTGAACGAAATACCTCTACTATATAATAGAATGACATATATAAAAAAAATAAAACTTAAAAACAGTACAAAAAAAATTAAATTTGTACTTTATTCGGTAAAAAATTACAAGTTTATTCAAATTTAAACATTAAATGCTTAAATTTGAATAATCTTATAATTTTTTACCGAATAAAGTACAAATTTTACTTATTAAACAAAAAGAGATTGAGTTTAGACGAAAAATTTTGTCGTCTAAACTCAATCTCTTTTTGTTTAATAAGTAAACTTTGTAATTAAATTAAACTTATAAAAACTTTACTCATTTGACTCTTCACTATTGCCATTTTCATCATTTGAATCATCATTGATATTGGATGAAAAATTCTGATTAAAGTCTTCATTAATTGCATTTAAAACGTCTTGCAAAGACAATTTCTTATTTTTGCAAGCAGCCATCTTTTATTTAAAACTTGAAGTTAATTGGTTGTTTATGCCAATAGAACCTTCTAGCACAAACAATTTTTGAGGAACTTTATAATTCTGAACGATTGCTACAATACCCTGCGTTACAATTGGAACTTTTATCAAAAACTTGTTCAAATCTGGAAATTTTTATAAAAGGTTTTAACAGATCATAGATATTGTCTACACCACCATGATTATGTTTACAAATCATTTTTTTCCAAAATGTCAGTTAGAACCCTATAATTCTCATGCGGCGATATATATATATATATATATATATATATATATATATATATATATATATATATATATATATCTGTTCATAAAATCATAAAATGGATCAGCTATCTTAAGAAGAAAGCAGTAAGTCCGATAACAAAGGTATTAGAAATACAAATTACAATTTTATTATTGCAATGGAGGAGGCTAAACTTTTTTAACTAGAAAACCATTGAATCAGAGATAAGTCTTAGTAAGTCAAATGCTGAGCTTCCATACATCCAGACTCAAACAGTGGAACTTGTTCCATAAAAATGTCATAAAAAATGTTTATATCTATCATAGGCTATTAGATGAAAAAGTTGTGCACTGCTTATCAACAGATATTTTCTAAATTTTTTACATAGGAGGCTTTCTGCAAGACAGGAGCTCAGTGCAGTTACATCTGCAAGACAGGAGCTCAGTGCAGTTACATCTGCAAGACAGGAGCTCAGTGCAGTTACATCTGCTCAAGTTTTTTTTTATGATTTAGCATTTAGGTTAGTTGACACTAACCTAAATGCTAACCTTAAATCAACCAAGAACCCAAAGGTAGAGAAGTGTTTTAAGTCAGAGATAACTTCTCCTATTCTTTGCTTTAGAAAGTTTTACGAAGCCGCAGAACATTGACTGGTTGTACTAGATTGCATGTTATCAGGAGCATGATAATTAGAATCTTGAATCGACCTAAGATCATGATCTTTTCCTGGCTTGATCATGTCATGGTCATGACCTGACAATAGGGCACGATGGTCATAATAGTCAGGTTATACTAATGTATGTGACCTGATCATGCCATGTAATTATTAGGTGTCTGGCATATTTTGCCTATTATGCCAATATAATATAATAGTCCCTTATTCCAATTTAAGAAAGCAAAATTTTTTCCTTGTTTGTCACCTTTTATTGTATTTGAAATGCCACAGTAAATAAGTACTTTGGTGACAGAATATTTCAGTTTTCTTATTAGTTTTATTTAAATTAAATTGCAACATAAATTAAATAAATTTTTAATTTTCGTTGTGTTAGTCACATTTTCACTTTTATGATATTTTAACACTATTTAGGATTTTCCAGTAATTTTTTTTTGGCTTGTTTATCTTTAGTGACATGTTTGTATATCTTTATTGACATGTTTGTATATCTTTAGTAACATGTTTGTATATCTTTAGTGACATGTTTGTATATCTTTAGTGACATGTTTGTATATCTTTAGTGACATGTTTGTATATCTTTAGTGACATGTTTGTATATCTTTAGTGACATGTTTGTATATCTTTAGTGACATGTTTGTATATCTTTAGTGACATGTTTGTATATCTTTAGTGACATGTTTGTATATCTTTAGTGGCTCTTTACATTACAAACATTTTGCGCTAAAAGTAGTTATAGTAAAACCTTGTATAAAAGAGGTAATAACGCAAATTTCTTTTTATTCTAGATCACATTACATGGTTGCTTTTCATTAGTCAATAAAATGGATATTGATCTTAATGTTCAATTGTTATGCTCAAAATCAGAAAAGACTGTTGGAACTTTTCAGCCACAGAATATTGGAGCCTATCAACACAAAATAAGAAATGCAAGTGAGCGAAAAAATTTGGTAAAAATTTTATAATTATTTTATTGCATATATATATATATATATATATATATATATATATATATATATATATATATATATTATATATATATATATATATATATATATATATATATATATATATATATATATATATATATATATATGTATATAAAACTTTTGACTATGCTTTTAATGGTTTGTAAACACAATCATCTAGAAGTTGGTGTAATCTGTGCGGCAGTAAAGTCAACAAATGATTTTTTTTTTTTTTAATAAAATTGTCAAATGACTGTCTTCATCAAAGTCATGATTGGCTAAATCTAAAAGATAAAAATTCTTTGTGTATAAATGTGTGAAAGATAAAAATTTAGTAAACAATACTTTTAATGTTTATATATCATCTGTCTGGTTCATTATTTCTATGCTATCACAGCCTGGAGGTTTGTCTATTAAAAATATATCCTAGAAATGTACCCATGGAAATCTATAAAATGAGGGCCTGATAAATATCACAAGCATTTACCATTCTGCACATAGTCACCAGTTCTCCATGATTGCAAAAATGTACCGAAGTTAGTTATAATAAATAGTTGAAAAAATTAGTTATAAATAAAAATTTAGTTAAAAATAAAAAGTTTGTTAAAAAGAAAAAGTTAATTATAAATAAAAAGTTAGTTAAAAATATAAAATTAGTTATGAATAAAAATTTAGTTATAATAAATAGTTACAAAATCAATAGTTGTATGAATAAAAATTTATAAAAATATTACAATAATAATAAAAGGGAATTGTTAAAGTTTAGAATTTAAAACTTTTTTATAATAAACTGTGGTATTTTACAACTATTTTTCAAGTTAAGCTTTAAAAGAATTTGCAGAAGTAGCATTAATAAACAGTAGGTAGCTGATTCCAATAAAAACATGTGTTATTAATTAAAAAATAATGTCTAAATATCTTTCACATTGGAATTAAATTGCGCTGAATCTGTCTTACAATGAAAATCCAACTTATCTAATCTAGCTTTTTTAGTTGTTTTTGTATTCTTTAGTGGCAATTTTTTTGTATTTTTTAATGGTGATGTTTTTGTATTTTTTAGTGGTGATGTTTTTGTATTTTTTAATAGTGATGTTTTTGTATTTTTAGAACCTCTTTAATTTTAGATTTTTTAGAAAATATAGATTTAAAATTTTGTTTTTAAGATTATACAGTCACAACATATTAACATTCTAACAAAAGTTGTGTATATGTTTAAATATGTATGAAAAAAAAGCTGAAAAGAGACTGAAACTGCATGATACTCTAATTATTTTAAGCGATAGTTTTAATAGTTATTTTTTCTTTTTTCTCTAAAGAATACCAAAAAATATAAAAATGCAAGTTCTTTAACGTTTTTTTAGCACCAAGTAAAATTTGTTTTGTTAAATACTTTTGGTCTGGAGAACACTCAAATTTACAAATAACTTTATGTTAAATTAATTATTTTAAAGTCATCTATTTGATTAGAATTTAGTATTAATGGTCTAAACTGTTTCACAGCATCTGTACATATACTTTCTGACACACTTTACATGGATAGTTTTCAGACATAGATCATATGTACTTAATCATTCATTCCATTAGAAAATAGTTCTTACAATTTTCGTAAAATTTTTGTCTATTATAAATTGTTTATTAATTAATTTATCTTTGCTAATTCCAAAAATGTAAATAAAATTTCTGTATCATTGACAGTTTTAAAGTTTTAATATATTCTTAGCGTCAACCACAACAGAGTGCACATTGTCAGAAAATCACAAAACATTTCATGGGAGGTTGTTAATTTGCTTTTTTTACAGTCTAGATTTAAATGAGAAAAGTAGTGGGTTACAAGAAGATATTAATAAGTATATTGTAGATGAAAAAATGCATCCTTATTAGATACTTTAAATACAAGGTTTTCCTTTTCTGCAATATAAAATCTTTCTTAAAGCATTAAAAATCATTTTGTGCCAATAAAAACTTTTAACTTTCATTTTTTAAATCAATGTGAACTAGATGGTTTTTTTTAAATCAATGTGTGCTAGATGGTTTAATCAAAAATTTAGGTTTTACTAAGTTAGGAGCTGGATTTGGATTTAAGTCTTACTAAGTTAGGAACTTTTTTCATCAAAAATGAAATCTACTAGGCAAAGTCTGCAAAACATGTGTGTACTGGAAATGACACGATGAGTTTGAAATTTACTATGAAAAAGGTGCATGTTTATCAATACCTTAAAGCAACATCTCAAAGCAGTGTTGCTCCACAATGGAAGTAAATATCCAACTTTGTTGTTTGTACACTCGATACAGAAGAAAGAATTCTATGATAATGTTAAAAAACTTCCTGACAAAATAATTATTCTGAATTCAAGTGGGGTGTTTGTAGTGATTTCTGAGTTCAAGTGGGATGTTTGTAGTGACTATAAGATGCTTGCTTTCTTACTTGGTTTGCAAGGGAGTTACACAAAGTATTTATGTTTCCTTTGGGACAGCAGAGCTGATAATAATTATTAAAAGTATGTTCATTGACCCCCACAAGTGAAACTACAGCAAGGATTGTTCTCTAATAGATCCCAAAAAAGTCTTGTTTCATTGGATTTTTAAGTCCTAATATTGAATTAGGATTAGTAAAACAGTTTGTAAATCTTGGAGAAGAAATCTTAAAAGAAATTTGTCTCATGTTTCAAAATTTATTTAAGGCAAAAACTTAAAGTTGGTGCATTCTTTGGACCACAAATAAATGAAATGTTAAAATTAAAGAAACTCAAAAGAGCAATAACAAAAGTGTCAGTTTTGTGATGTAGTTTGTAGATTCCAAGGAAATCACAAGAACCTTAATTACAAACAACTGGTTTCAAAGCTTATTGAATAATTCAAGAAGCTTGGTTGTTGTATGTTCATAAAAACTTGTATATTGCATTCACACCTAGATTTCCCAAAATAAAAAGTGATATCAGTAAGAAATTTCATCAGGATATTGTAAAAATGGAAAGTAGATGTGGTACTGCTATTATAGAAGATCATAGATGGTTATAAAAGATAAAAGTATGCACTTAAAAAAATTGCAATCATCAAATCACTTCTAATCTTAAGAAAAAAGTTTATAGCAAAAAATTGTGTTGTAATTGTAAGTTTAAAAATATTTATAGTTAAGAATTGAATTGTTTTTTTTTTGGCTTTCACTGATGTCCTCAATACCTTTCAATATATGAAAAATTTTGTTATATGCTTTGTAAATATCCTTTCAATATTTGAATAGATTGATACAACATACTTACTTGGAGAAAGGTTGCTGTTATATCAAGAAAATATGAATTTTTGCATAAATAACTATCTATGCTACATAAAAAACAATGTGATTTTTGAATTTAGTGGCAAAAAAGACATTAACATTGAAATACCTAAGTGGGAAAGACCTTTGTTACATTGTGTAATTTGCATGATTGTAGATAAAGAATATGTTACATAGTGTAATAAAACACAATATACATTAGGGTGGTTCTAAACTTTTTTTTCAAAAAGTGCACATTTGAATCTCCCATTCTTATCCATCTACTAAAACAAAAAATTTTTTAAAATTTGAAGTGATTTAAAGTATTTTTGGAGGTTGCACAAGTCATTCAAAGTTTCTGATTACATCGCAAAAAGCGACCTTTTGGTAGATTAAAGTATTTCACACGAATAACAACAGCAAATAATTTATTATTATTCAACAGTTGCAACTGTACCAATGCACTTACTAAATAACAACAAAAGTAAGACTGACAGTTATATCAATTTTAGTTATTTTATAGTTTATGTTTAAAACAGTAGTCAATACAGTTGATCTTCAGTGCCATTACAAACTTATTCGGCTTTTGAAAGTCCCAACAGCAAAGTGCCTTTCTTGGAATCTAGAAATTTGTGGCAATGTTCCTGTACAACCTGCATTAAGTACTGTTTCTGTTCTTCATTTTTTGTTAGCAGTTAATTGTGTAAGTTTCACTCCTCTTTAAAAAGATCCTCAACTGCCGAGACAAGTTGTGTTTATGTTAAAGAAAATGTTTAAAAAAAACTTTTTTGATTAAAACTTAATAATGAATGGATACCGACAAAATTAAAATTATTGTTTTAGTCAAAGCTCGCCTTCTCCATTTTATTTTTCTGCTAGAATCAGAAAATCAAATATTTGTATAATTTTTTACTAAACTACAAAAAATATATTAGTGATTTAGTAAAAAATTATACAAATATATGTATATATATATTTTTATATTTATAGTTTTTATTTTTACTTGCTCTGTTATTACTTTGTTTTAGAAGGCGGCCAAAATCATGACACAATTACACATATTTTGTGATTATTAGAGTTTGCAGGCAGAGAAAAAATAAAGGCAGTATGATGCGGTTTCTCGTTTTATATTTAGTTCAAATGGTTTAATAGAGTTGTTTGTTTTATGTTTAATTTACATTTAGTTATGGTTTAACTCCTTCACTACCAGAAGCCTCTAGTAGCGGCTTTCAATTATGCTTCACAATTTATCTTGTTTTGTACATAAATTTCTATTCTAGACACATAATTTGTTTGTTCTAAAGGTTTAATTAATTCTCTACATAATCAATAAAAATTGAGAGCTAGTTTAATTTGAACAGTTATTAGTAAAATAATTTGTTTAATATTTATTTTCTACTTAGTTCAGTTTATGTATTATCCAAGTCACTTGTTTTTTATTCAGTTTATATTTTAAATTAATTTAGACGTAAAAATTATTTTAGTAAAATTAGTAAAATTATTCTTTTAGTATCTAGTTGATATTTAGTTTATTTTTATTTTTATAAGTTTTATAAATCTAATTTCTAATTGTATCACAAACATTTTGGAGTTTAGTAAAAAGTTATACAATTAACATGATTTGGTGGTTGTGGCAAAAAAATAATACGATATCTTGAAAGAAAAAATTTATATGAAGATATCATATACCGAAACTTTTATGAATTAAACATGTATGGAATAAATTATCAGGTCTGCAGATTGCGGCTTACATTATACAGACTCCGAGAACCAAAAAAAAATGGAGACAGCAAGCTTCGACTAAAACGTAAATTTTAAAATTAATGGTGTGCATTCATTATTTAGTTTTAATCAAAAAAATTTTGCCCAAACGTTTTTTTTAAATATTTGGCTGTTAAGCGTTGACAAACCTAGAGTCAAGTCTTGGTGGTGAATTGTCTGAGCCAGCTTGTACAAGTTGCATGTTGCTGATCTGTTTGTTTTTCGCTGAAATCAATTTGTGGATCAAAGAAAGCTAAACCAATAGTTATTTCACTCAAATACCACAGATGGCAGTTGAATACTGTCTAATGGCTTGATTTCTATATTCAGACAATTGGTGTAGCAAACAAAGATCATTGGCGGGCGCTGTAACTGCACAAGGAGCCTGGAACCATGCTTCAATGTAAACGTCACATATAAACAAAAGAAACTGAAAAGTTCTCTTTTCTTCACCAGTTTTTAGTTTGAATTGAACATCCACATTTTAAATGCAAAGCTCCAGGTGCTATGAAATAAACACCATGTCGTGGAGTTCCAACTAGAAAGATGATTGATAGTTCCAAGAGTTCCCTGTAATCATCTCGTGGCTGATAGATTTTAATATTTGTCTCAGCAAAATGAATTATACGAGCTTTGAAATCAGCAATCTCTACCGCATCTGCTGTTGTCTGGAAGTTGCTCTGGTTGATCTGATTCCAATTGTCTTGGAATCTCATAAACAACAGAATATCTGAACCCGTTCATGTAGCTATTTTTATTATTGAAAAGGTCTTATCAGCTACATAATATGATGTCTACATGCAAGATGTAAAAATTCACGGTCAAGAGATTTTGTATCAGACTGCATGGAACTCCATACTTACCCATTTTGCTAGCAGTTGTGTCAAAACATAATCCTCTAATAATGTCATGAACATTCCAGTCATCAATACATCGTACTACAGCGGCTGTCTGCTTCTCTGGTCTCAGAAGTAATTTTTGGAGCGCCAAGTAGTTATTCTGTTTTAACGCCGGATACAATAACAGGCAATCTATCAGTTCCCAGTGATGTGAGGCAACCGCTTTCCATTCCAGTGAATTTACTTCTCAGGTCTCTTGCAAACACCTCTCGATTTTGCATCCTGGCCTGATGGATTGAGCTACGGCTCAGTGACAACTCCTGGATGTCATGGCCAAGAGCATCAGCTATAGCAGCTAACAGATGAGGAGCTTCTCTGTCTGTTACTTTAGTTCAATCCAAAACTACTGCCACATGTTTTGTAATAAATGTAATTTTGCTTGGTTTGAATGATGATGGTTGCTCTTTCAATGTCTTACAAGCAACTGGCTCTTCTTCAATCTCTGCATCATTTTCATCTGTCTCAGTGCTACTGCTCAACAATAATGGAACCTTGCTGGTTAGAATTTCAATATCTTTCTTTGATTTCATACGAGGAGCTTCCTCCTTTTTCTTCTTACTTTCTTTGAATTCAACTTTCTGCTTCATAATTTTATCTACTCCTACCATGTAACCTTTTCAGACTTGTCTCTGAGCGTTCAACAAGGCTCAATCCTTGGGGATCTTGATCAGTGCTTGTGCATTCTGGTGAACAATATCAAAAATCCGGTCCAAATGTTCACAAAATGCCTCTTTTTTTATTTGAGTAACTGTTCGACATTTGCATGCCTTCTTCAGCCCTTGCCATTCATTTTGGATTTTTAGAACTCTTTTAACTATATCATGCCAATTGACAGTTGGGATACCAGCTTTCTCTCAAACGTCAAGAACCTGTTGCACTGTTACCTTGGTACTTTCTTTCAACACTATGTTCAGCTCTTTGTGGTGATAAAAGAAGACTGACAAAGTCTCTTGCAATAAGGGCAACTTCTTAGTTTGGTTAAGGTTAGAGACTGGTGCTCCAATCAGCTACACTAAAGACTGATGTCTTGTCTTCATGGCTTCATTGTTTGTAGTTGTGGTGGTGGCCATTGCAAACCAGTGACCACTAAAACAAAATCAAAAAAATAATACAGCATTGATAATTTAGCAGAAGAGCATACTTTTCAATTGTAATTTCTCTAACCCCATGGAGCTGGTCTATTCTGTCACATGTATAATTCATAAGTTACAAGAGTTAGTCATGGATATTTTGTATATCTTTAAGCTTCAGAAACAAACATTATTATACAATAATATGTAATGTTACTACCTGTGTAAGTGTGTAATTCAGAATGAATTCAACTTTGTTAATTGTATTATATGAATCAAATAATCATTATCTACACATCTATAGATTCAATATTGTTGCTACTGCGGACATCATCATAGAATATTGAATTATTGATGAGTGATGCAATAGCACATAGTAAACAACACATACTAAGTAAGTAATCAAACTTTATGCAATAGATATATTAAATAACAAATTTAGATATTTTATTCGTACCATTTTTTTGAAAGTATTATGTTACTGCTGTTACTGCATGCATATTGCAGGTCACTAAAAAACGTGTTGTTTACTAGTGACCTGCAATATGCATGCAGTAACAGCAGTAACATAATACTTTCAAAAAAATGGTACGAATAAAAAATATCTAAATTTGTTCAATTCAAATTTAGCAATGCAAATTATTGAATTTATCCTTTTTTACATTGAATGAACCAGTTAATCAATGCATCAATGCAGTTCTGCACAAAACAGTTATAAATTTAATGGACTTCTCATAGTAACTCTTATATCAAACAATATGGTGAATACTACATAACTGTCATCCAGTAACTTGAAAGTAAACTAATAATGCGAATTTGCGAACTGACTGAAAGCAAAATAAAAAGCCCTGTGGAACTTCATAGACTCTGTACAACCTCTAAATATTCTCTGAATGATACTAAACTTCACCAGATTTAATATTTTATATATTGGATTCATTTGGCACCTTCCAACTTGCAATAATATAATGTTCATTTTTTTCCATATACCACCCTATATTTATACATATATTTTTTTCCACCCTAATAAACATAATACACATAATACCAGTTCTTTAAATATTTATTATTCATCATTGGATTCATTTAGCACCTTCCAACTTGCAATAATATAATGTTCATTTTTTTCCATATACCACCCTATATTTATACATATATTTTTTTCCACCCTAATAAAAATAACACACATAATACCAGTTCTTTAAATATTTATTATTCATCATTCAATTTATCATCCATCCTAAATGTCTTAAAGACCATTTTATTGCTTTTATTTTATGTCATATGTTTGTAAATTTTTGGAATTTTGACAGTTTTAAGGTTTATTATTGATGCCATATGCAAATTTTCTTTTAACACAGGTATTTTTTTACAAAAATTAAAGTTAGCATTTTAAATAAACAAAAAAAAGTATAACTTAAAAATTTTTAATTTGTGTAGGTTTCTACAAATATATTTCTCCCAGCAAACATTGTGCGACCATCGATTACATTGTCTGTCTCCTTAATAAAATCGCTGAAAGTTTCTTCTGTTGGTGCAGATATAGAATTAACTAAGGAGCTAGAGTTTCCTTTAGATTCCAATGAGTTTCAAACAATAACGTCGGTAGGTTAGAACTCTTTATTTGAAACTATATATTTTAAATAATGCAATGACAATAAGTACCAAACACTTAAATATTACTTCTTTATTAAAAATGATTCAAAGTTATTATATAATAATCTTGATGGGAGTAAATATTTTTTAACTTTTTAACTTGATTTTTGGAACCAGCATATATTAAATGTTGTTAATGTAAAATGTAAATGTAATTTAATATTACTTTATTTTGATTTTTAAATTTTAAATAGTGTACCCTACCTCTAAGTATATATACCCTACCTCTAGGTTTAAATGCTATTTATGATTTGTGTATATTTATATGTATAAGTTCATTTTTTACTTTTACTTCTGTGGACATTTATGCAAGTTTAGACATGTATAAAACAAGCAAAGCTTTTTTGTTGGTTTTGAATCAAGCCTCACTTTAAATCAAGCCTCACTTTCGTGTTTTTTTATTTTTGCTGCTATTTCCAATTGTAATCATTTTGTTTTAAAAATAAGTCTTCTGCGAACAATAGACTTTTACTTGAATAAATCTCCTGAGAACAGGAGACTTTTATTTGGATAGGTCCCCCAAGAATAAACCTCTTTTTATCACTGCAAGAAGTCGATGCAAAAAGCTGAGACCCATTATTTCTCATATTACTAAATCTTATATTTTATCTCAGAAATGTTTTGAGATTTAACTGTTAATAGTGTCATAAACAAATGCAAGTTAAATTCAGAAGGTAAAACACATACAAACTAGCCGAGACCCATTTTTTACAACACAACTAATTCTTGTATTTAGAAAACAGTTGATAGTATCATTAACAAAAATCTAATGTTCCACCTCTCATATGTGGGTCTAATCTTATTTGTTTTTCTAGGATAACGTAGTATTGTTTGAGTATTGTTCTAATTTACACTAACTTTTTACCCAAACAAGATATTTAGTTGTTTGATAATTTTCTGTAAATTTGAATCCAATATTTTATATTGATGAATAAAAACACTCTTACTGAGTTCTCTAGTTTGCATCTTTTTGGATTATGTTTAAGTTCTGACCTTTTATAATAACAACATATCCAATTTATTTCAAATCAATTTTTTAAATAAAACATATTTGAAAAATTGATTTGCTTTATAGAGTCATTACTCACAACTCTATCCCAAAGTTCTATGTAAAGAAGTAAAATAAACCATTTTGTATAAAAGATATATATATATATATATATATATATATATATATATATATATAATATATATATATATATATTACTAAAATTTAAAGTTCTCGCTTAACAGTCTCAATACATTTTTTGTTGCTTTTGCAATTTAATACGCTCAAAATGTATTTTGTGTAAAATTTCTCATTTTTGAAACTAGAAAAATTGAATAGTATACTTAACCAAATATATATCATACAAAAGAATATCATATAAAAGTTGAATCACACAAAAGCATGCTACCATAATTCTTATTAACTTTTGATCATGTAAAGTTTTCACTATGTACATTCTACATATCTTAAATATTATTACTTGTTTTGTTAAGAAAATCGAACACTCTTTTTGAAAAGTACACTAATTTTTACATATTTTTTACAAGTATTTGTATATGCTTGCACAAGTTTATTTTTGCATATAATTCACAAAAGTATTTATTGATACTTACATAAAATGTACAGAGATATGTATTTGTTCATACTTAAATAAATATATAGTTAGATGCTAATGGTTCTTTGCATTGCTGGTTAACTGTTTGTCGTGATGAAAATATACCATCAATATATATTGTGACAATCTCACCAATGTATGTGTTTCGAAACCATCTACCAAATCCAGTTCATTTAAGATGTACTCAAGCAAAATTTGTTGAAGAACTAATTGTTACTGGACAGGCTAACGAAACTCAAGTATGTATATAAATTGCAATTTTTTTTTTAAGAATTTTTTTATGCTAGATTAGGGCTATTCAAATATATTTTATCAGGGGTCCAAAAATGAAAGTACAAGTTTGTAAACCACTAGCTGAATTCAAAAAAAGGTTAATTTAAAACAAAACTTCATTTAAACAATAAATAAATTTATATAAAAAAACAAAAATAAAAATAATTAACTGTTTATTTTAAACTTTAAAACCATTAGTACATTTAGAAAAGTTAAAGATTTATGGATACCTTTGGGTTTTACAACTGTTTTACAATATTTGCTTTTATAACTATGCAATTCTTGATTATACAAATATAAATATGCAATTTTTAATTATGCAATTTATTTCTTGTGTACAGCAAATATATGAGCAAAAATGCATGTCTTCATTCAAGATCTCCTGTTATAAATCATTTATATTTAATTCAGTTTACAGAAGATCATTTGCAAGATGTTTATTTATGAAGTGCACTATCAACTATCAACACTTAAATGCAAAATATAAATTGATAAAATGCAATACCTCAGCCTCTGAGGCTGCAGAAACTAGTCTTGTTTCTAAAATGGCAAGAAATTAAATCTTTTTGAGTTTTGGGCCTATAACTTTACACAAAATTCTGATCAATTTGACTTCTCTTGACAAAATATGTTTTCAATCATTTCTAATAGTCAAGTTTCTCAAGCAGAATTTTGTGCTTGAGGATGTACTATCCTAAAAAGTCACTAAAATGTTTGTGATTTAGTTATAAAATATTTTGATTCAATCAAAAAAACAAGTTATTGGTTTGTTGAAACAAATTTTTTTAAATAATGGCAAGCTAAGCTTTTCATTTGATGGAAACACATTAGATAAAAATAAGGGAAACATAAGATTGAATATGCGTTATAACAAAGGAATTCAATGTCTTGAAATTTTAAGGGCGCATGATACAGTGCTAGCAGCTAAAACGATTGAATTAGTTACTATAAAGATTCATTTGGTTTGAATTTAGACAAGAATGTTGTTGACTTTTTTACTGATGGTATTAGCTTGATGAAAAAAATTGACACTAAACCTAAACATCAACTATCTATTCAAGATAGTTACTATCTATTCAATGATTTTTATTCAAACTGGTTACATACAAGAAAAAAAGTATTTTTGAAATGCTAGTCTAATCTACTTACTAAGGTAATCTAATAATTGCATCAGGTATTCTAGGTACTAAGCTTCTTGATTTTTTTGGAGCTTTTTTTTTTCAACCTTTTTTGAAATAGCTTTTGAAAATCCCTTTTTTTGATGCCTATTTGAATGAATTAAGGAATAAACAAATTGAATAAATTTATTGAATAGCTCTATGCTAGGTAATAAGTTGTTTATTATTGATGATATCATGTTCAATTGCATCAGGTTTTTTCTTTAGGTATGCAGTTTAAACCCAGATGAGCATTTTGATTTGTCATTAGCTTTATTTGACACATTAACATATTCTAATCCAGCCCTAAGTCTAAGTCCGTCTCTTTTTAAAAAATTAAAATGTAGCAAGTTGTTTTCCGATTCTACTTTTAATATTTACACTTGGCCATATGTGAGCAACACCAGGTTGGTTTTTTTTTCATGTTTAATAAGTTTTTATCTTGTCTTTATTAATATCTTAAATATGTGTTAAATAAAATGGTCAAACATACTAAAAAATATGTTAAATAAAATAAAATAAAAATAAAATGGTGTCTTTGTTCAAATAAGATTGTTTTGCAAAATTTTTATAATTAAATATTTATTAAGATATTTTATCATTTTAAGAACACATTGTTTTAAAAATATTTTCTAAATTTTTTTTATTTCAAATTATTTTTAAAGGTTTTTTCCTTTTAATAATTTATAATAGATTGAGAATACAAAAAAAAAATTTAAAAAGATTAAAATAAAAACCAATATCAAAATAATTGAGCAAAATTTTAGTTAAATTTCATTTGAAAAAACTAAAGTAATGGTTTTAATATTGAAGATTGAGGGGGCCACTACCTTTGACACACCTTGACATCTTTCACACCTCTAATAAACTGAAACAGAATCTTTAACAGACTTAGTTAACAGAGAAACATTTTTTTAATTTTTATTTATTTAATTCACCTCCTCAAGGCCGAGAAAGCCACTACAGACGAGGAGGCTACTTATTTGTGGTTATAACCCTCTCTAAACTCTATAACTCCGAAACATGAACCTTGACGAACAAGACCGCTGCGTGGAGAAACAAGTTAAGCACGGTACTACCAGGGGCGTGGTGGGGATCGAACTCGGAACCACTCATTTATGAAGCGAGCGCTCTACCACTACTGCACTACCGCTTAATGTATAGTATTGTATTGTATTGAGCATAGCAAGTTAAAACTTGAGACATTTTGCATAAATTTATCTTGCATAAATTGCTTTAATATTGGTTTTATTATTTTTGAATGTTTTGATTGATTCAATTGAATTGAATTTCATGATATTTATGATATTTTTTATATGTATTTCTGTTTCATTTTCATTTAAAAAAAATAAAAATAAAGCAGTTGTTTAAAAAATAAATTCATAGATATAGATTTTATTTTTTGGGTAAATAACAAAATAAAAATAAAATGGATTTTAAAAATGGAACTGAATATTTTTGTTTATAGTATTAATGAATCATCACAGACTGATCCAGTCGGTAGACAATTTGTAATATTCTTGGAAAAGTCTGAAATTATTGTACAAGCAAGTTTATATTGGCCTCATTTACCTACTGTTCTTATTGACATAAAGCCATTTTTGCTACTGCATAACAGTTCTCTAACAGCTATAGAAATAGATTGTGAAGGGGGGACTTTGTACACACTTAATTGCAAGGAAACTATATCTTTGTTTTTCCTTTGTGTAAGTTTAATAATTCTTAATTATTATAGTAGTTATTATTTTTATTTATTATTTATTAATTTTGTGTTTTTGGTTTTTTAATATCTGTCATCATTTTTGCAGACAAATATTAAAATTGGTTTGAGAACAAAAAATGAAGAGATTTTATGGTCTTCAAAAGTCCAAATTCTTAATAATATGGAACCTGGTGTTCCTTATAGCAAACAAAATTTAAGTTCTGAACTATTTCATCAATGTTCTATACATGGTTCCAACTCAAGTTTATGTTATCAATTTATTGTCTCCTGTCATCGTCAACAAGGAATCTATGTTGTGGATATTAATGAAAGATTTGTTGTACATAATTTTTCAAAGCATTTGCTGAAATCTGCACTGAGTATGTCAGATAGTTATGCTGAAGAAAAGGTAATCAAGATTTCTTTTATTTTTTTTTTTTTTTACATTTATTTATAAAATAAATTCTATTAAATATCTCATATTTAAAAAAGATTTTTTTGTAAATAATGGATTTTTGAATATAAGATATTTATATCTGGTAATTTACCAGATATAAATATCTGGTAAATAACCTTTTATACAAATTTTTTAGTGTTTGAATAATGCCGCAATCAATATTTTGCCTCCTAATTCTACTGTCCCTTGCTCTGTACTTAACAAGGATTGTATGAGTAATCAAGCACCTGGACTTTTCATTAATTTCAGAGTAGTAGAGAGCAACGAAAACATTTCATTTGATGCTTTTGGGGATGCAAGTAAGGTTTTGATGAGTAAATTTGTGATTATTGCAAGAGAATCATTTTGTCTTTCAAAGGATCATCTTCGAGAATCTTTGATTCTAAAATGCAGCAGTGAAAAAATGTATACTTTTGTTGCCACATCCAATCTTGAGAATGGGGTTATTCATATATTTGTTGACGAGGATACATCACCAGTTGTTTCCATAAAAAATAAGTGTGATGTTGATTTTTATTTAAAAGAATTAATAGTTGCAGAAATCAATAAAAAAAATTATCAAGTACTTTGTTCTAACTCAAACAAGTTTTTATGTTTAAGCAAAAATTCTTCAGTTGCTTTTCAACCTAAAGTTTTTAAAGAAGGGTTTCCAAAAGCTAATAATAAAATTGAGTTGGCTTGCCAACTAGCTATATTAAGAGAGTCTTGTCTGGAGTTAAGTCAGCCGATAATCCTTGAAAATCATTCAAAAGTAAAAATTTTTGTTCCTAATTATAAAGAAGTCTACATATGCGCTGAGGTTGTGAGCTCTCAACTTTGTATTGAAATGCAGGATTGTGAATTTCACCTAAATCTTTGCAATTCTTTACCAGTTCCAAATTTAAATATTTCCTTTGAACTAGTTAACCTAATAGTTATAGATCAAATAGAAAGTAAGATGCAAAGTATATTATCTGCATCCATCTCTGAGATAAAGTTTATCCACAGTGTTGACAAAAATAAATCGTTGTTCAAATTGTGCATTGGGTACATGCAAGTTGACAATCAGTTAAAAGACTTTTGCTACCATTTTCCAGTTGTTTTTTTACCGATGCGTGAGCTTAATAAACGCTATCATTCCCCTGTTGCAAATGCTCCATTTCCTGATATTGAAGCTTCACTGGATATGGATTTTATCACGCTTACATTTGAAGTAAATCAGTTGTTATTAAATGAGAATATTTATTTAGATCATGTTAAATTAATTATGCAACCATGTGAAATGTATCTTGAAGATACTTTTATATATAGACTGGTTGGGACTTTTAGTCATTTTTTACCTGTCACAAGGAAAGGTGATTCTACTCCAGTAAAAAATGCTACTGTTGTATCAGTTCTTCATCCACTGCATTTGTGCAATATTGAAATAGATGAACTTTCAATTCTTATCAGTGTTCATGCTTCTGTGAAAGTTTTTTTATCTTCCAATCATATGCCTGTGGTTCTTGGTAGTTTTAGATGTTTTCCTACTCAAACAATATTTAAAGAATTTGTTAGAACTTTGCTATATCATTATGCAACACAAGCACTGGTGCGAGCAGGTTGGATGTTAGGATCCTTAGAAATTATAGGTAATCCAACAGGTCTGTTACAAAACCTTGGTAGAGGTATTTCTAACTTTTTTGTATTACCATATAATGGGTTAAAAGAAGGACCTGCTTCATTTGTTTCTGGTATAAGTCAAGGCACTTCGGCATTTCTCACTCACATATCAACAGGCACTCTTACTTCTATAAATAGCTTTGCTTCCAGTATGTCAAGAAATATGGATAGATTGTGCTTTGATGAAAGTCACCTCCTCATGCAGGAAGAAAGAAGAGCTCAATCAATAAGGAAAAACAGCAGTATGTTGTTTTCTTTATTTCTATTTTTTTTTTTTCTCTCTCTAATAAACTTTCCTTTAGTACAGTTTTATAATAATTTTAGATTACTAATAATTAAAAATGTTTGACAATATTTTTAATATAGAGCAAAATGTTTAAGCATATTTGTAATATATACCCCTCACTTTCATATTGCTTCATTTACTACTTTTTAGGCACAATCGATAAAAGAGAGAGTTTTAAAAGTAGTCTGTAATGTAAAACATTTAAAAAATAGAGCTATATTTTTTATCAGGAAATATTGATGATTAATTCAAAATCTATGTACATTTTAAAAAACATTGTGTTAAAACAACGCAAAACTTTTGTCACTTTTTTTTTTGTCAATATGAACAACACAAGATGATGTTAATTCAACATAATTCCTTGTGTTAAACAAACAACACAAGGCATTTGTGTAGGAATTTATGCATAATCTGGCAATTAATGGTAAAGTTAATTTTATTTTTTTTTTTCCCCGTTTTTTTACACGTTTTAAAACATATTTTACATGGCACAATGTTGAATTAAATGACTCAAAGAAGTTGTAATGATTTTTAATTTGCAATGCTTTTTCAAGTTATATATTATAATGGAGGCTTGCTTTTATTTTATTGAAAGCTTTTATTGAATGTTTAATAATTTCATTTTAACATCTGAACCAAATTTACATGATTTATTAGTATATACTTTATCCATTTATTTTAAACAAAATATTATGTTGGTAGTTTGAATATGATATATTGAAATATATTTTTTAAATTTATTGAAAATATCGTGCATCTTTTTATGCAGTTTTACATAAAATATTTGCATTGTCATTATCATTAAAAAACTTTTTCAAAGAAGAAGAAGAAGCTAAATTACTAAAATGTCTTATATTACTGCCTAAAATTTGTCAGCATCTTTCTGAGGCTTTATCGTTTCTTGCCAAAATGTTTCGCACTGAATATAGATAATAGAGAAAAAAAATATTTGAAAAAAATTTTAAGTTTGAAGAAATCAAACAAAAATTAAACACAAACGAGAAAATGAAGATTAAACATTATTTAATATAATTGAATTTTATACTTCTTAAAAACTATATACTATTGGTATATTATTTATTAAAGAAACCACAAGAAATCTCACGAGATTTGGAAATGAATCTTACCTTTAATTAAAAACCATTGCTGTACTTGCTGAAACAAGATATTTTCCCAAAGTTGTCATAAACAAGAGCCTTTAAAGATTTTTGTACAAATGCATCTAAACAAAATTAAAGTTATATTATAATTTACATAGATGAAAATATGATTTAATAAATAAAACTTTAGCATTTTAGATTTTCTGAAGATTATTTACCTGTATTGCTATTTCCTTAAGTATCTGTTATGCCTATAACACAATGTAACAAAAAAAAAATTCTCTGTTTATCGAAATTTTTTGATGCTTCTTATTTAATTTGAGTATGCTAAGTCTGAATATGACATAAGTTTTTTTTATAGCATCAATCATTTGATCATAAAACCAAAAACTGAATTAAACATGTAATTAATATTAATCATCTTGCATGAGATACAACTTTAGTCAATATATAACATTTACTAATTCACAAATGTTATGTTATGTTACAAAGTTATGTTATGTTACATCACGTTAAAATGTTATGTTATGTTACATCACGTTACATACATATATTATATAATGTTAAATTATGTTCTAATGTAATGGTCTCTCAAAATCTCTCAAAAAACACTAGAAGTAAACAGTATAATGTGGTTTTCTTTTATGAAGTTTGTCGTCATCGCGTATCAAATACCAGATGGAGTTACCCATCATAGCTGCATCCCATCTTGATCCTCTTGCTCTACGGCTGACTTGCTAACTGCTGTAACTGAAAGATTTTATCATGCATTAGATGGAGGCGGTGAGGCTAGGGCTATTGCTCTCGAGATATCTAAAGCTTTTGACAAAGTTTGGCATGCTGGTCTTCTTCATAAGCTTGCTTCATATGGTGTTTCTGGGAAATTTTTTGAGTTTATCAAATCATTTCTTACTACCATTTATTAAAGTCATCCTTGAAGGCCAACACTCTTCTTTATTTCCAGTAACTTCTGGGGTTCCCCAAGGTTCCATTCTGGGCCCTGTTTTGTTTCTTATCTACATAAACGATCTTCCTGACAACCTTTTATCTAAAGTAGCTCTTTTTGCTGATGTCTTGACAAAAAGTCTTCTCTTTTCGATTGCCTAGAACAAGCAGCTGATCTTGAATCCGATCTCACTTCAGTAATAGATTAGGGTTCACAGTGGCTTGTGAATTTCAACTCTAACAAAACCCAGTTGTTTACTGCAAACAACTACCGTAATATGGTCAACATTCCTATATTAATGAATGGCAATCCTCTTACTGAGTCCTCCTCTTTACGTCTTCTTGGATTATCGCTTACTACTGACGTTTCATGGAAACCATATATACAATCGATTGATAAATTAGTTTCTGCTAAGGTTGCTTCTCTTTATCGTGCTCGCCATTTCCTTACTTCTGATTCCATTCTCTACCTCTGCAAATCTCTTATTCGTCCCTGTATGGAATACTGTTGTCATATTTGGGCTGGTTCTTCTAACGATTCACTTTCTCTTCTTGACAAGGTCCAAAAGCGCATTGTAAATGTTGTTGGACCTGAACTATCTGCTAAGCTTGAGCCTCTTTCCCATTGTCGTAAAGTTGCATCTCTTTCTCTTTTCTACAAATACTATCATGGTCACTGCTCAAAGGAGTTATCATCTCTAGTTCCATCAACTAAAATTCGTTCTCGTTTTACTCGTCATTCAGCTAAGTCTCATTCTTTTACTGTATCTGTCCCTGCATGCTCTAAAAACTTTTATTCATCTAGTTTTTTTCCCCGCACTTCAATCCTTTGGAACTCTCTCCATCTTCATGTTTTCCTGACTCATACAACCTTCAACTTTTCAAGTCTTCTGTCAACCATTTCCTTGTTCTATAACTCTATTCTTTTTATTCCTAGTACATCCCAACTTAATAGTGGTTGCTTGCAGCCTTGTTGGGAGTGAATGAAAATAGAAAAAAAAAAATCTGCCCTGGTATCTTTTCTCCATTTCATAGATATCCTGATGAAAACATTCTCCATGCTCGTCACTTACATCACCCAAATTTGGTCTGAAAAATTCCAGGTGTAAATGCAGGTAATACAGCTTTTTTGACATTCTGCATTTTATATCTGCGTAATGTACAATTAAATTTTCCAATAGCTCTTTGTAGTTATCACTCTTGTTGTTGCCTAAAAAACTATAAACAACATGTCTAAATGCAACCCATGCTTCTTCTTCAACAACAGACATTTTGTCCTTCAGCTCCTTACTTGCCAACTTCAATCTGCGGACCAACAAATACACCTGCTGAAATTTTTGCATCTGACACATTTGGAAACATTTGCAGAATATGTTGGAACGCTGCACAAGCTGGGTTTAATGCTTTGACAAATTGTTTGACAAGATCTTGTTTATTGTGAAGGGGTGGTTGTAAGATCTTCTCAAGAGGTATCAGGGCTTGATTAAAAACATTGTGCAAACCAGGCTGTAAATGTTCTCTCAATGGCCACTCACGTCTTGTGAAGTGCTGGTCTGCAGCCCTGCTATCCCATAACAAAAGTACTAAAAACATGAGTACTTTTTGTATCCTCCTTGTAGACCGAGAAGAAACACTTGCATCTTAAAGTCTCCACATACATCCCACTTGTTACTGTCGTAGTTGATTTTCTCAAGCAACAACTTCAAGTTCTTGTAGTCTTCCTTTAGATGAGCGGAATGAGCTACTTAAATCAAAAGAAATCAGTTTCCGTTGTGAAGCAAAACTGCATTTAGACTTCTTGTTAAACTGTCAATGAATAACCTCCACTCTTCAGGATTGTGACTAATGATAATACCATTGAAAAGACAACGAACGTCAAGCACAGTGATTCTGGTACTACTTAAAAGGATGCAAAAGTCATGAAATGACTTTTTTGGTATTTTGAGGTTCTGCAGCTTGGATCTAATAAATTCCACTCTTTCAAACGTGATGTCAGAAGTTCTGCATTTGATTTAGTGAGACCCAAATCTCGTACTAAGTCATCAAGTTCTTGTTGGTTAGGGAAATGAGGTGAATCATTCAGTTCCCTGAAACCATAGTCATCACGGAGTTCATCCAGTATGTCTACATGAGAATGATATGCAACTACTTCTTTGGATTAAGGTGGGTTAGGAACATGCAGTTCATCACTGTGTGGAACTGGTCAAATAGAAGAGGGTATACATGGATAAACTAGAAACAGCTTATCCTTTGGCTTTTTAAACTTTGTTTAAATGTCAACCATGTTTAAATGTAAACCTTGTTTAAATGTCAACCATGCAGAGATATCAGTCATCATGATGGTTCATCGGTTCTCTCTGTATTCTTGGAATCACAAAGGGCATTGACTTTTGGATTCCACACAGCCATCATTCCAGAGTTGATCTGCAGCTGCCACAACTTTAGTGTGGAACTCAAGATTTGTCCTGATCCCCATAGCCATGCCAAAATAAGCATGACAATCTTATGTTTAGTTTGTATTGGACTAATATAGTAATCACAAACAGAGGCGTAGACAGAATTTTTTGTTGTTCAAGATAGGTAACTTCCAGACATAAAGCAAACTCCAAACATTTATATTTTTATACTTACGTCAAATAATGAGGATTTGCAAAAATTGCGATGATTGGAGGCTGGAAACCCTAAAATTTTCATCCCTCCTACCCCAAACGTGAGAGCAACAAATTGATAAACTTTTTTTTGTACTATTCTTAACTAATGCGGTAGTGGTGTAGTGGTAGAGCGCTCGCTTCATAAATGAGTGGTTCTGAGTTCGATCCCCACCACGTCCCTGGTAGTACCGCGCTCAACTCGTTTCTCCGCGCAGCGGCCTTGTTCTTCAAGGTTTGTGTTTCGGAGTTATAGAGTTGAGAGAGGGTTATAACCACAAATAAGTAGCCTCCTCGTCTGTAGTGGCCTTCTCGGCCTTGAGGAGGTGAATTAAAATTTAAAAAAAAAAAAAAAACTAGACTTATATTCATCAATAAATTTTAAGTTTCGTAGTAAAATCTCTCTGCGTTTAATAATTATGAACTTACTTAGTTTGGGGTTACAAAATTTAAATGGTCATAATTTATGAACGCTGAAAGATTATACTATGAAACTTAAAATTTATCGATGAATGTAAATCTAGTTAAGAATAGTACAAAAAATATTTTATCAATTTGATGCTCTCATGTTTGGGGCAGGGGAAGAAGGGGGTCTAAAATTTAAAGACTTTTTTATTCCCAGCCTCCAATCATTGCAATTTTCTTGCAAAGCTTAATTATTTGATGTAAGTATAAAAATATAAATGTTTGAAGTTAGCTCCATATCTGGAAGTTACCTATCTTGAACAACAAAAAATTCTGTCTACGCCTCTGATCACAAACATAATAGAATGAGTCAGGACAAAGCTAGATCTACTCTGATCACAAACATAATAGAATGAGTCAGGACAAAGCTAGCTAGGATCTACTAGACATATTCACCACTTCATATAACAGTTGTAATTAGTTAAACTGAAAATATACAAAAAAATATAGTTAACTCATTCTCTCAGTAGCATTTGTTAAAAAAATCGTACCCAAAATGAGCTAATATTTATAAATAAAATCCTTTAAATCAACTTAAATAAACATAAACGATAACAAAGGAAGTGACAATTGAATACCTAAAAAACTACAATGATGAAAAGTAATATTAAAATGCAATTATAGAAAAAATACTAAAAATATGCAAAGCCACTGACATTGGCTCACCAGAGAGAAAAACAAATCCACGAGAGAATGAGTTAAAATTAGCATATATATATATATATATATATATATATATATATATATATATATATATATATATATATATATATATATATATAATGTTATAAATGTATTACACATATACGAAAACTCTAAAATATACTTTATGGTTTTTCTTCAAAAATCTTGATGATAGAGTAAAACCAATGGTACCACTGAAATCAGCATACTAAAATTATGTAAAAAACATTAAAAAATTAACATAAATAAAAATGTTGTTACATTGTGTAATGTCAATGCATTTGCCAGTCAAATTGCAGTATGCAATTATTTGTTTCAAAATTGTTGTTTCCAATAAAACTGAAATACTTTCTACATAATTTCGATTTAAATTCATCATCTAACTGAAATGAACAAAAAATGTTAAAAAAATTATTATATATAATGTAAAAATTGAACTACAAAAACTACAAAAACACCTCAAAAAATTTATCAGCGATGAATGAATTTCAAGTTCATCAACTAGTCAAAAAGTTGTATACTAGAATATCCAAAATCTTCTAGTAACTATATTTAGTTTTTATTCAAAAACTAACATGAAATATTTATACAACATAAAATTTAAAAAAGTGTAAAAAATATATATAAATTGAATAAAATATAATAACATATTATGCAACAATAAAATATAAAAGATATCAAATTGCAATTAAATAGTAAAAATTTAATTACCAAACTTTCCAACTAAAATGAAAAAAAGTTCAATTAAAAAGAAGCCAGTTGACAATGAAAGTACATGCGAATTAAATATATTGTCTATTTTAACAGCCATATATTTAGATGTTTTAGATTATAGCTAGCAATATGAAAATCAGTTTATGTAAAAAAAATTTTAACTATAAGTGTCCATTCATTTTTATGGATAAGTAAATATACAATCTTTCCAAAACGAGACAAAGTTTGGTTAGCTCTAAAACTACAATATAATATAATAATACAATAAATAAATGTAAAAATTAGAATTCAAATTAGTATTCCTGATTCTAAAAAGTAGTATTATTAATTTACAACCTAAAAATTTACTTAATTATCAAGTTATCCAAAATTATGATTGAAATTTATGATAATTCTTAAAACTATATTTTTTTTAGCTTTTACGCGTGTTTCTTACCATTTAAAATATAAAGAATGTTAAAACTTGTTTTAGACAGCAATAATTAATAATTAATAATGACTTTTAACATTACCTTGCCAACACTAATATTTTGTTGACAGATATTAATTAAAATGTATTATTATATTTGTATATGTATATTTTATTTTTTATTAAATGTATTATTATTGCCTTATATTACTTTTATATATTAAACATAATTAACTAATACTTTTTGTTAAGCAAAATTAGATTAAGCTTTAAAAGTGTAGGTTCCAGTTTCTGACCCACTCTGCATTGGTGCAAAATATTAATTTATAATTATAAGTTAAGGTCCGAAATTATGTTTAAATTGCGGCTGTTAAGACACCAAAACACAGAAGAATCAAATCTTATATATATATATATATATATATATATATATATATATATATATATATATATATATATATATATATATATATATATATATATATATATATATATATATATATATATATATATATATATATATATATATATATATATATAATAGATGTAACATTAGAAAATGTAGATTCAAACTGTTATGCTTAAGCTTTATTAAATAAACCACGAGAAATATCACAAGGTTTGGAAACTTTAGTTTTAAACTAAGCTTTAATTTTCAATGTTCTTCTTTTCTTAATTGCCTGAAAACGTTTTGGAGAAATTCTTATCATTTTAAAAATCAAAGTTGTTTTATTGTTATTTAGCAGCAATCTAAATAGCATTCC